CCCATCCCTCGCTATGTCCCCGTCCCTCGCTCCCTCTCCGTCCCTAACTCCCTCGCTCCCTCCCCATCCCTCGCTCCATCCCTCGTTCCCTCACTCCGTCTCTAGCTCACTCACTCCATCCCTCCCTTACTCGCTCCCTCACTCCCTCCCTATCCCTCACTCCCTCGCTCTCACCCCATCCCTCGCTCCCTCCCCATCCCTGGATCCCTCACTTGCTCCCTCCCCATCACTCGCTCCCTTCCCATCCCTCACTCCCTCCCCGTCCCTTGCATCTTCCCTGTCCCTTGCTCCCTCTGTCTCTGTCTCTCGTTCCCTCCCTCTCTCCCTGTCCATCCCTCGCTCCCTACCTCCCTCCCAGTCCCTTGCTCCCTCGCTTCGTCCCTTGCTCCCTCGCTCTGCCTCTCGCTCACTCGCACCCTCCCAAACCCTCGCTCCCTCGTTCCCAACCCGTCCCTCACTCCTTCCCCGTCCCTCCCACCTGTCCCTCGATCCCTCCCCATGCCTCCCTCCCCATCCATCTCTCCTTCCCTGTCCTCCCTGCCCCTCCCTCACTCCCTCCCTCCCTCCCTATCCCTCACTCCGTCTCTCGCTCCTGCCCCATCCCTCGCTTTTTCCCATCCCTCTCTCCCTCTCCGTCTCTCACTCCATCCCCATCCTTTGCTCGGTCCCACTCCCTCGCTCCCTCCCTCGCTCCCTCTCCGTCCCTCGCTCCCTGCCTCCCCATCCCTCGCTCTCTCCTTCGCTCCCTATCTGTCCCTCGATCCCTCCATCCGCCTCCCTTTCTCCCTCCATCTCCGTACTTCGCTCATTCCCTCCCAGCCCCTCGCTCCCGCCCTCCCTCCCCATCCCTTGCTCACTCCATCCCTCGCTCACTCACTCCCTCCCTGTCTCTCGCTCCCACCCTGTGCCTCGGTCCTCATTTCTCCCTCCCCATCCCTTGCTCCCTCCCCATCCCTCACTCCATCGCTCCGTCTCTCGCTACCTCGCTCCATCTCTCGCTCACTCACTCCATTCCTTGCTCACTCGCTCCCTTACTCCCTCCCTATCCCTCACTCCCTCACTTCCTCCCTGTCCATCGCTCCCTCCCTGTCCCTCGGTCCCTCGCTTGCTCCCTCCCCATCCCTTACTCCCTCGCCGTCCCTCGCTCCCTCCATCCCTGTCCCTCTCTCCCTCGTTCTACCTATCACTCACTCACTCCGTCCCTCGCTCACTCACTCCCTCCCTATCCCTCACTCCCTCGCTCCCACCCCGTCCCACGCTCCTTTCTTGTCCCTTGATCCCTCACTCACTCCCTCCCCATCCTTCACTCCCTCGCTCTCTCCCCATCCCTTGCTCGGTCCCCCTCCCTCGCCTGCTTCCGTCTCTCGCTCCCTCTACCTCACTCCCTCTCCGCTGCCTACCTCCCTCGTTCCCTCTCAGTCCCTCGCTCCTTCCCTCACTCCCTCCCTGTCCCTCACTCCCTCCCTCGCTCCCTCTCCGTCCCTCGCTCCCTCCCTCCCCTTCCCTCATTCCCTCACTCCCTTAATCTCCATCCCTCGCTCCCTCCATCTTCGTCCCTCGCTCCCTCCATCCCCGTCTCTTTCTCCCTCCCTCTCTGTCCCTCGGTCCCTCCATCCCCATCCCTTTATCCCTCCCTCCCCGTCCCTCGCTGCCTCTCTCCCTCCCTGTCCTTTGCTCCCTCACTCTGTCCCTCGCTCACTCCCCATCCCTCATACCTTTCCCGTCCCTCGCTCCCTCCCTGTCGCTTTCACCTTCCCTTACCATCCCTCGCTCCCTCCCTCCATCCCGTCTCTTGCTCACTCGGTCCATCCCTCAATCCCTCCCTGTCCCTCTCTCCCTCGCTCCATCACTCCCTCCCCATTCCTCGCTCCTTCCCTCGGTCCCTCGCTCCCTCCCCCTTCCTCACTACCTCGCTCAATCGCCGCCCCTCACTCCCTCCCTGTCCCTTGCTCCCTCGCCATCCCTCTGTCGCTCTCTGTCCCTCGCTCCCTCCCCGTCCCTCACTCCCTCATTCCGTACCTCGCTCCCTCACTCCGTACCATTCTCCCTCACTCTGTCTCTTGCTCACTAGCTCCGTCACTCCTGCCCCATCCCTCACTTCCTCACTCCCTCCCTGTCCCTCGCTCCCTCCCAGTTCCTTGCTCCCTCACTGTCCCTCTCTCCCTCCCAGTCCCTCACTCCCTCCCCATCCCTCACTCCATCCCTCGCTCCCTCGCTTCCAAGCCGTCCCTAGCTCCGTCGACGTCCCTCCCACACATCCCACGATCCCTACCCGACCCTCCCTCCCCATCCATCCCTCCCTGTCCCACCCTCCCTCGCTCCCTCCCTGTCCCTTGCTCCCTCGCTGTCCCTCTCTCCCTCCCAGTCCCTCACTCCCTCCCCGTCCCTCACTCCAGCCCTCGCTCCCTTGCTTCCAAGCCGTCCCTAGCTCCGTCCCCGTCCCTCCCACACATCCCGCGATCCCTACCCGTCCCTCCCTCCCCATTCATCCCTCCCTGTCCCTTGCTTTGTCCCTCGCTCCCTCTCCATCACTCGCTCCCTCCCCCTCGCTCCCTCCCTGTCACTCCCTTGTTCCGTCTCCCTTACTCACTCCCTGTGGCCCCCTCCCTCCGCTTCCCTCACTTCCCATCCCTATCTCGCTCCCTGTCCCTCGCTCCTTCCCCGTGCCTCGCTCCCTCACTCCCTCAGTCCCTCCCCATCCCTCACCCCCTCCCTCTCCATCACTCCCTCCCATCCCTTGCTCCCTTGCTCACTCCATCCCCATCCCTCACTCCCTCCCTCCTCCTTTCCCTCCCTTCCTAGCTCCCCCACTGTCGCTCCCTCTCTGTCCCTCGCTTCCTCCCTCTCTCCCGCTCTGACTCTTGCTCTTTTCCTCCCTCCCTCTCGCTCCCTCCTCCCTCCCTCCCTTGCTCCCTCCCCATCCCTCGCTCTCTCCCTCCCTCCCTCCCGTCCCGTGCCCCTGCCCCGTGCTTTGCTCCCTCCCTCACTTCCTCTCTGACCCTCGCTCCCTCCCTCCATGTTCCTTGCTCCCTCTTCGTCACTCGCTCCCTCCATTCCCAACCCTCAGTCCTTCTCTTCCCATCTCTCAATCCCTCGCCATCCCTCGCTCCCTCCCCCTCGTTCCCTCCCTCCCCATCCAAGAATTCCTCCCTCCCTCATTCTCCGTCCCTCGCTCCCTCCATCTCCATCACTCACTCCCTCCCTCCTCGACCTTCTCTCTGTCCCTCTACATCCCTCGCTCTCTACCTCCTTGTCCGTTTCTCCTTCCCTCCCCGTCCCTCGTTCCCTCCCTCCCTCACTCTCTATACCTCGCGCCCTCCCTCTTCATCCCTCACTCCCTCCGTCCCCATCCTTTTCTCCCTCCATCTCCATCCCTTGCTCCCTCCCTCCTCGTCCCTTTCTCCCTCCCTCTACGACCCTCACTCTCTCCCTCCCTGTCCCTTTCTCCCTCCCTCCCCGTCTCTCACTCTCTCCCTCCCTCACCGCACTTTGCTCCCTCACTCCCTCCCTCGCTCCCTCCCCGTCCCTCGCTCCCTCGCCATCCCTAACTCCCTCACTCCCTCCCTTCCCTCGATCCCTCCCTCGCTCGCTCTCCGTCCCTCGCTCCCTCCCTGTTCTTTTGCCTCGTCTCCCTCTTTCGAACCTTCTCTCCCTCCTCCCTCCCCGTCCCTCCCTCTCTCTATTGCTCCCTCCCCGTCCAGCTTTCGCTCACTCACTCCCTCCCTCCTTGTCACTCACTTGATCCCTCCCCATTCGTCGCTCCCTCACTAGCTCCCTCCCCCATTCCCTCGCTCCCTCGCACCCCCACTGTCGCTCCCTCTCTGTCCCTCGCTCCCTCCCTCTCTCCCACACCAACCCTTGCTCCCTCCCTCTCTCCATCTCGCTCCCTCCTCCCTCCCTCCCTTGCTACCTCCCTGTCCCTTGCTCTCTCCCTCGCTCCCTCACCGTCCCTCGCTCCCGCCCCGTCATTCACTCCCTCTCTGTCCCTCGCTCCATCCCTCCACATTCCTTGCTCCCTCTTCGTCACTCGCTCCCTCCTTTCCCATCCCTCG